AGCATAACTTTTACATGCACTGGGAAACCAAAAAATTCGTGTGACTCATTTGATTGCAATATTTGCTTTATTATAGTGGTCTGGAACTACAATATCTCTGAGATATGTCTATATGGTGTGGTGCTACGCTGTCGGATAGCCACTGGACTGCTAATTGCAAGGTTGGTAGTTCAAACCCACTAGCCACTCTTAGATACCCTATACAGGATCGCTATGAGTAGATGGCACACAAGAACAACATCAGTAGGTGGGTAAGTAAAAAAGGATTGCTACAAGGCTTCCAATTCATATGTGCAGAGGTTTATTCCAAACAAAACATGTCTGAACATGTCTGTGTGATCAGTGGATGACTGCAGACAAGTTCTCTCAAGTAATAAACTTGTTTTAGTCTCCTTGTTACATGCCGTCAAGTCAGTTTCAACTCATAGCAACACTGTATAGAGTTTCTGAGGAGCAGCTGGCAGGTTTGAACTTCCGACCTTGTAGTTTGCAGGCCAGTGCTGATCCTACAGTGCCACACCAGGAGTCTCCTTTTGGAGCTTTAAAAAAAAAAGGTCAAGTTAAAACAGTGGCTTCCAAGGGGATCTGCTGGGCCAGTTCAATTCAAGGCAGAAAAATGAACTCAAAAGCTTATAGAGATGTTATTTGGGACTCCAAAGGGTCACCTTGATAGATTTTCTGGAAGAACACAAGACAATCATGGGAACTTATTATTGAAGAAGTTTTAAGAAAATGGAAAAGTGAATTGGTGAAAAGAAATGGAGTTTCCATTATAACAATACACCTGTTCATTCTTTGACGGTAGTAAGGTCTATCCTACAAAAATTACACTGGGAAACCTTATTCCATCCACTCGACAACCTGATCTGGCCCCTTCAAACTTGGTTTTATTTCCCAAACTCAAGGTACATTTCAAGGGAACGTTTGGAGTCTCTTGTTGTGGTGGTGTTAAGTGCTGTCAAGTTGGTTCCCACTCATAGTGACCCTGTATAGGGTTTCCAAGGAGCAGCTGGTGGGTTTGAACTGCCGGCCTTGTGGTTCGCAGTCAAGTGCTGATCCTACAGTGGCACCCAAGAGTCCATTGAGTCCCTAGGGGATGCCCAAACTCCCATTTTGATGTGGTACAAATCTAAGCATGCGGAATTTTGGTGGGGAAAGGCAAGAAGTATATAGACTTAGAAGGAAGACATGTTGAGAAACAATAGCTTCACATTTTGATAAATTTGTTGGCTACAGTTTTCTATGGCTTTTTAGGAATATTTTTAACTTCACAGAGGTGTTTCAGATAGGAAGCAGACAGAGACGGAAGAAAGAAGCAGAAAGAAAAGAGGCAAGGAACCTCCTAACAGAGCTGTAACCCGCACCAAGGGCTATGGCAGGGACAGGACCTGAAGAAGGTCCCATGACAGAATCAGTGATGACAGACAGAAGGGCCAATCGGAGCCTCTCCTGAAGGGGATAAAAGGAGCCTGTGTCCTGAGGGAGCTGAGGGGAGATCTGTCCTGAGGAAGCTGAGGGGAGGCCTGTCCTGATCTGTCCTGAGGAAGCTGAGGGGAGGCCTGTCCTGAGGGACTGAGGGGAGATCTGTCCTGAGGAAGCTGAGGGGAGGCCTGTCCTGAAGGAATGAGGGGAGATTTGTCCTGAAGGAATGAGGGGAGATCTGTCCTGAGGGAATGAGAGGAAGCCTGTCCTAAGAGGAGCTGAGAGAGCTGTCCTGCATTGAAGGGAGACTTTGCCCACATACATCATCATCCGGATCCTGAGTTGTAGTCTGCTGGCCCTGATCCCAAACTGTACCATGTTACTTCCTTAATAAACCACTTAACTGTAGGGGTGGTATAAGTTCTGCGTAGCCATTGCAACACATTATCAAACCCAAAGATAGAGAGTGCTGAAGGAGGGATGGCTAATGTCAGAACTGGTAAAAAAAAAGTTGGAAAGTTGAGGTTATGTCTGACCTCCACCTTATAAGAATCAACACTGGGCTGACCTTGACACGTTCCCCCTGAAGTTAGACAGGTTCTGATGACATCATCACTACCACAACACAAGAACTCGGTGGGTGTTTATGGCCTTCTTGCCTGGTACATCTTACTTCTGCACTGGGAGCTGCTCTGTTGAGGTTTTCAGTCTGGTCTCCCATTGCTAAGTTGTTTTAGAAGAGCTGTTAGCTCTCTGACCTGTAAATGCTGTTGAGAAGAAGGATGAGGTCAAACTCTTAGGGTCTCTTGATTGAAATGATGTTGTTGTTGTTAACTGTCCTTGAGTTGGTTCCGACTCACAGTGACCCCTATAGTTTCCGATCTTTGGAGAAGCAGAAAGGCTCATCTTTCTCTGGCGTCGGACTTGAACCACAGAACTTGTGATTCACAGTCCAGTGTTTATTGTATTGAGCCACCGGGCTCACTTGATGGAAACTGTGCAAGTATAATCCTAACACACAGATTTCTAAAACTATGCAACTATAGTTAGTACCTCTATTAAGTTTCAAAGTTTTAAATCTTTATTCTACATATAGACATCCTAACAACAACAACAATTGCTTGACAAGACAGAAATTTAAATTTTAAAAATTTCTTTATTTTGAAAAAATTTCAGAGTTAAGGAAAAAGTTACAACAATGGTACAAAGAACTCCTATACACCCTTCACCCAGATTCCCAAAATGCTGACATTTTATTGTATTTGCTTAATCATTCTCCCTCCATGTATATATATATATTTTCCCTCCTAATCTGTTTGAGAACAAGTAGCAGGCATGCAGTCCTTTGATCTCCAAATATTTCAGGGTGAATCTTACACAAGTCAAGGAATTCTTTTACATAAGCACAGTAATGTTATCATAATCAGGAAATTAACATATACAATATTATTAAAGTGACAGATCTTATTCAAATGACTCAATAATTTTCTTTATATCCACTGACAATGAGTCCATTCCAACTCAGAACGACCCTATACAGGATTTCTAAGGATGTAAATCTTTACAGGAGCAGGCTGGTGGGTTTGAACTGCCAACTTTGTGATTAGCAGTTCAGTGCTCATCCTACAGCACCACTGAGACACCTAGTGTTCTTTACAGAAAAAGAAGACTAAATAAATATCTGTGCATGTTCTTTCTGGCCCAGGATCCAACCCAGGATCATGGGCAGGGACTTCAAAAAGTTCATGGAAAAATTCCATTTTCCCATCAACCTGCTGAAGTCCTCTTGTATTTACTTGTCCTTTCTAGTCTCCTTCCACCTGGGACAGTTCCTCACTCTCTGTCTTTTATGACATTGAGGTGTTTGAAAAGTTCAGACAAGGTAGAAGTTTTGTAACAAAAACGGGGAGTAGTTAATCTTACAGTCCAGAAACAGAGAACCCTAGGACCATCAAGGAAGAAGAGCACAAGTGGAATGTGAGACCTTACACAGAGAAACAGTGACACCTGAGATGGAGGCAGAGATGAGGACATGGAGAGAGGGAGCAGCTGAGGTTCTGGACTCATGGAAAGAGAGGGACTGAGTGGTGGCAGCCAGGATGCAGGCTTACAGAATGAGCCCTTTGGTTGTTTAAATGATTATATATTCCTGAGTGTTTCTGTGTATACCCCGCCCCCAAAACAAAACAGGAAATGGGTGAAAATACTGTTGAATGATGATGCACGGAGGAGATTGTAATCATTGCAATGAAACTATGGTATAAAGCCAATGTTCTCCCATGTAAAGTATCACTCAGTTCACAATAAAAACTTACCAGAAAAAAAAGTTCAGACCAGTTATATTATAGTATGTCACTTGGTTTCAGTCTGATGTTTTCTCGTAATTAGATTCAGGTTATGGACACTGGGGAGTAGGACCACCCACAACGATGGCAGTTCCTTCCCAGTGTACCATGTAAAGAGGCAAATGGTACCAGTGACTCCCATTATTGGTGACGCTATTTTCAACAACTTGGAGCACACAGCGAAGTCTATCATGTTTCTCTATTGCAATTACTGATTTCTCCCTTTTTAATCAAAGGAGCTCTGGTAGCGTAGTGGTTATGAATCGGGCTGCGAACCGCAAGGTCAGCAGTTCGAAACTACCAGCAGCTCCGTGGGAGAAAGATGAGGCTTTCTGCTCCCGTTAAGATTTACAGCCTCGGAAACCCTGTACAGGGTCGCTATGGGTCGGAACCAACTCCACGGCACATAACAACAACAACAACAATCAATACAGATATCTTTGTAGATACTTTGAGGTTATATAAATTTTTGTTTCTCATAAAATTTAGCCCTCCAGATAAAGTTTACATCCCAGATATAAATGGTAGTGGTTATGTAACATCAAGTTGGATCCGACTCATAGAGACCTGTATAGGGTTTCCGTGGCTGTTAATCTTTACAAAGCAGAAAGCCTCATCTTTCTCTCTCAGAGCAGCTGGAACACTCAAACTGCTGATCTGACAGTTAGCAGCCTAATGAACAACCCACTAAGCCAGCAGAGCACCTTCCAAATGTAAATTGTTGTTGTTGGAACCGACTCACAGACTCATTATTCTTGTTAAGTGTCCTCAAGTCGGTTCCAACTCATAGCGACCCTGTATAGGGTTTCCGAGGAGCAGCTGGTGAGCTCGAACCACTGACCTGACCTTGTGGTTCAAACTGACTTTGCAGTCCAGCGCATTAACGCACAGTGCCACACCAGGACTCCTCCAGATGTAAACAGATGAAATTAAAATAGATTCATTCATTTATCTTTGAATTTAGACCCAAAAATCAAAAATACCTGAAACGTGGGAAGAGAGGTGCCTTAAGAATTTTTCAGATTTAGTAAGTTTAAACTGACATCATTATGGCCATGATGTTTTTTGTTTGTTTGAAATTATCTGATCTGTCTATTATACTCTTAAAAAAAATTTACTTACAGAGAGAACTGAAGTCAAACATCAGAAGTCCTACTGGAATGCCTCACACTTGTGATACTTTTACAACGGTCCAACTACCGAGCATTATAATAAACGTGAAGGGCGTCTCACCATTGACTCAAGAGCAGACACGAGGAACGTCACCACCATCCTGCTCTCCGAGGACGCCTCATCTCCTGTGGGCACGGCAGACACTGCTACTTGGGCCATGATTCCTGTGCAAGATAAGTAATAAGAATATAAATGGTCCTTCCAAAGACACATTTTTTAGAACCACGGGGGTCCTCACACATCACCTCCTTCAATTCCTCCTTTTAGAGTTGAAGAAATTGGTCCTTAAAGACAAGTAATCAGCCCAAGGTTTCCTGCAAAATAATTGTATATATTCATTGTTTATATTCCACTAAGCCTAGACATCCCTTCGCTGTAAAATAAGTGTAGGTATTTATAAACGCATGTTCATAATTTCCAGGATGAGTAATGGGTAGGAAGTGGACTTAATTGACCCAATAATTTTTGGCCAGATTTTAACATGGCAGGGCCAGATATCAAGTTCGGTATCTGTCTTTCTTTTCCTGTCTTTAATGCATAAAATGCAAAGAAGAAAACTGGGTTTTATGCATTAAAGACAGGAAGAGAAAATTCTTCCTCCTGTCCCACTAAATGTTTTCCTGTACAAATTTTAGCCAAGCTCTTAATCAAGTGAGATTTAGAAATACCTTCTAAAAAATTGTCAAAGACCTTTTTGAAGTGGAACATGCAAATTACTCATCAGATACGTCACATCTCTATGTTGTCGTTGATGTTTGGTGCCATTGAGTTGGTTCCAACTCATTGTGACCCTGTGTATGGTTTTCTAGGAACAGCTGGTAAGTTTGAACTGCTGACCTTGTGATTCACAGTCCAGTGCTGAGCCTACAGTGCTACACCAGGAGTCTGACACCCTCTTTAGTTAATTCTATTTTTAAGTAAATGATAAATCAACAAAATTATGTACATGAAAGTGCTAAAAAATAAGACTACTAAAGCCAATAACTGTAACTAATTAAAGCTCATTTAATATACAATTTACCAATGGGGGCAACATTTCTGACTAGAGTCAAAAATGTTCCAAAGAAGAAAGATCCTTTACAGATTTTTATTTCCCAGCTTACTATTACATTGCCATGGTAACAGGACCAGAATAGGGTTTACAAAATATCTCTTGGACATGCAGATAATTCTTTAAAAGAGTTGTTTTTGCTGTTGTTAAGTGCCATCGAGTCAAGTCCAATTCACAGTGACCCTGCATAGGGTTTCCGAGCTTGAACTGCCGACTTTGTGGTTCAAAGTGAGCTTGCAGTCCAATGCATGAACCCATAGTGCCACAAACTCTAAACTATTGTTAGACTTAAAGATGGCTTTTAGGAGACCAGTTTAGACTCAGGGTTTAAGGTTCAAATATTACCTCAGGACCTCAGGGTGATAGTTTTGAGTGGGCCATTTCAACCTCCATGGATGGTTCCAGAAAGTCTGGATTCCCTAAGAATTTAATATTCCACTCATACTATTTGTACATGGGTTATTTCTTTACCTTTGCTGCAAATACATCCATTAATGCGGAGGAGGATAAGAGGGGCAAAGTTATGAAAACTCCTTCAGGTAATGAGTCCCTGAGCCTGAGAACACCAAGCTCAGTTGGCCTAACACAGACCACAAAGACAGTGCTCTACATTCTCCTTGGGTGAGTAGCAACCGGGACCTTAAAAGCTTATGAGTGGCCATCTAAGGTGCCACTATTGGTCTCTCCTTGTCCAAAGGAAAAATGAGTGATGAAAATCAAAGACACATGAAAACAATCAGTCCAATGACCTAATCAACAGAGGAACATCAATTTCCACCAATACCAGCTGCTCTGAAACAGATCACATTAGAAGGTTCTGGATAGAGTGGGAGGAAAACATGGAACAAAACTCAAAATCATAAAAAAGCCCAGGCTTACTCGGCAGATAAAGATTGGTGGATTTGAACTTCTGACCTTGTAGTCAACAGTCCAGTTCTTATCCCACAGCAGTCCTCATTAGCCCTAAGGGAGATGCAAATCAAAACTACAAAAATGGCACTGATTAAAAAAAAAAAAACAGAAAACAAGAAATGATGGTGAGGTTGTGGGGAGATTGGAATTTTTATATGTTGCTGGTGGGATTGTAAAACGGTATAACCACTATGGAAAATTGTATGTCACTTCTGCAAAAAGCTATGATCCAGCAATCCTATTCCTATGTAGATATCCAAGAAATGTATTATCAGTGACAACAGTAGACATATGGACATGTTCACTGCAGCGTTATTCAAAATATCAAAAAGATGGAAACAACCTAAGTGACCATCAATGGAAGAATAGATAAACAAAACATGGTCCATACATACAATGGAAATACTATGTGGCTATAAACAATAATGATGGGTCCATGAAACATATCATGGATCAATTTGGAGGCCATTGTTGTTGTTATGTGCTGTCGAGTTATGCTGAGTGAAATAAGTCAGTCACCAAAGGGCAAATATTGTACGGTCCCACTACTATAAAAAGTCCAAGGATAGATATAAAAATAGAAAGTAACGGTCTTTGGTGGTTACCAGAGGTGGAAGGGGGTGGGAAGGGGAATCACTTTGAGATAGTAGATATTTGTTATTTTTTGTGATGGAAAGGTAATATCACATATGAGTGAAGTCATGTAACAATGGTGGTATGGGGACTTCAGACCACCTCATCTAATCACACAAGGGGAAGGCAAACCATTATTAGCATCAACAGCCCAAGGCTGGTTGCTATGAGATGGAGGTTTCTCTCCAACCTTTTTACTAATTCTGAAACCAGCTGTCCCTCCCCTGGTATCCTTGACTTCTCTACTGGGTTAATAATTCATTACAATGGCCACATGCAAATCAGAAACCACACTCATGATTATGTGGTTAATTAGGGAAGTGTTGTTGCTGGGCTCTGGACAGTGAAATGCATGTTGTTCTAGGGTCAACTGCATTTTATAATTATTGTGCTTTATATGAATCTTCTACGTAATAACAAATAGAAGCAGAACTCGTAAGTTCACATTTTATGCCTTGGAGAGTGCGTGAAAGCACTCTAAAACTGAGGTGTTAGGCATGAATGAAACTGACTGATGTAGGTCTGAATCAAAGCTCCATTTTCTTTTGAATTAAACTTTACTTGTACTCTTTTCTGCCTTCCTAAGAATGGCGCCGTAGGATAAGCACTAGACTACAGGGTCGGTTTGAACCACAAGGTCAGCAGTTCAAACTCATCAGCAGCTCCTCGGAAACAGGGTTGCTATGAGATGGAACCCACTCAACAATACTTAACAATAAAAAAGAATAACTAAATAACTACAACCTGTGATTTAGAGCCTTGTGAACCACTTGTGAACCTTCAAAGCTACCTTCAGCAAACAGTGAAGGAGGAAGAGATGTGACTGAGGATGGAATGTTTACCTGGATAGTTTGGGGGGAATGTCCACTCAGCATGCCCCAGGGAAAATGTATATGTGGCTATTTCAGAAAGTGGTTTGCTGGATTGGTTCTAGGAAATGTAGATTAGCTATATGAAAGTTTCGCTTGCTATTAACTTGTCACTGCATGGACTCTCTAGCGCCCATGATGGCGGTCATGTGCTCCAGTCCTCATTTTTCTTTATAAAAGGTTACTTCTCCCTGAGAATGCTGGAACCACTCAGCTTTAATTTCAGACTGTTTCCCAATTCACACTGTATCTATTCTTCAATAAACTCTTTGTTTTACTCCAAATAGAGTATTGGAAATTTCTTTTATGACAGGCACTACATACTTATGCCTTGGAGTTGGGTCTAACTCATAGCAACCCTATACAGTGCTTCCAAGGAGCAACTGTGGGTTTGAACCACCAATTGTTCAGTGAGCAGTCCAGTGCTTATCCTATTGCACCACACCACAACTCCACACATTAGAATAGAAATAATGAAATATGACCATAAACTAGCACAGTGTTTCCCAGTCTGAGAACATTTCCCTGAGAAACATTCACTACATTCTTCTTCTTCTTGTCAAGTGCTGTCAAGTGGGTTTCTAACTCATAGTGACTCTATATAGGGTTTCTGAGGAGTGACTGGTGAGTTTAAACCACTGACCTTACAGTTCAAACTGACCACATGCTTATCCTACATTGTCACACCAGGATGAAAATCCTAGACAGCAGGAACTTGTACCACATACAAAAATTCTCCTTTTTTGAACTAAAATCTAAGACATCATATTATATTCTTTCACCATACTTTTTCAATCTGTATGTTGTCCAAATAACCCTAAGAATGGGATTATATGAAGAAAAACATGGTTATCAGGATTGGAGGAAGATTCATTAACAACCTGCAATATATAGATGATAAACATTGCTTGCTGAAAGCAAAGAGGACTTAAAATACTTACTGATGAAGATCAAAGACCACAGCCTTCAGGATGGGTTGTGTACCTCAATGTAAAGAAAAAAAAATCTCACCACTGGACCAATAAATAACATGAAGATAAATAAGAGGGGATAAATTAAAGTTGTCAAAGACTTCATTTTGTTTGGATCAACCATTAACACTCATGGAAGCAGCAATCCAGAAATCAAAGGATGTTATTTGCATTAGGCAAACTGGCTGCACAAAACCTCTTTGAAGTGTTCAAGAGCAAAGATGTCAGTTTGAGAACTACGGCATGCCTGACTCAAGCCATGGTATTTTCAGTAACCTCATATGTATATGAAAGTTGGATAGTGAATAAAGTAGACTGTGAAATAATCGATACATTTGAGTTATGGTGTTGGAGGAGAATACTAAAAGTACCATGGACTGTCAAAAGAACAAACAAATTTGTATTAGAAGAAGTAGAGCCAGAATGCTTCTTAGAAGCCAGACATCATCTCTCATACATTGGACATATTACCAGGAGGGATCAGTTCTCGGAGAAGAACAAAATGCTTTGTAAAGTTTGTAAAGAACAGAGAAAAAGGGAAAGACCCCAATGAGACGGATTGGCACAGTAGCAGCAGTAATGGGCTCAAGTGTAGCAACGACTGTGAGGTGGGTGCAGGACTGGGTAGTGTTTCGTTCTGTTGTGCATAAGGTTACTATGAGTCAGTGCCAATTCGATGGCACCTAACAACAACAACAAGACATCAGGAAAGCTCATTTTAGA